GTGTTGCTTTTAGGAAGTAAATTGAAGCAAATGTTTGTGCACAATATTACAAATATATAAGAATGAGATCAGGCTACTCAAAAAAGAAGGGCTATATATGTATGAAGTATCTTATATTGATATGCTCTTAGAAGGATATATAGATTGTTATACCCAGCTTGTTTTACTCATTGAATTACCATGGCAGTATTTCAATCATCGAGTTGTTTCCTACTGGTTAAAAGCCAACATTTTGGGGAGTGAGTTTCACAAATAGATTTATTATGAGAACATCAGGTTTATAAGATCTATATTTTCATTTTTAAGCCAGACTACAGGGATACATGCAAAGTCTTTTATTAGTAATACCAAAAGTGATAACAATTCACTTTGCTCCTATACAGAAATCCATAAAATATCTTTCACATTAAAATGGTCCAGAACATTGCCTTGCCAACTGCAAAAATGTGACAGCACTAACATGCTTTGTGAAATCCTTGGCTCCTTGCCCCCAAATTGATCTAAAAGTGTATCCTCTGTCTCCCAAAAATATCTCCAAAGGTCATACAAATTGCTCCTATTTAGTGTGAAACAGAAATCTCTTGATTTTAATGTCTACATGGATCCTGCTTCCAGATAATGCTAGGAATTATATCTCTCTGTATATTCTGAAACTTTCCTTGTGTGCGCTCAAGGAAATAATGATTATTTGGTATCATTAGTAAATGTGGAATTTTCCATACATTATGGTAAGATTTCAGAATGTAGAACAACCATCAAGTCTGAAAGTTTCTTCAGCAAATCCTGTGGTTCAGCACTAGAGTTGACCTCCAAGAGAACATTTTATATTTGTATGTTGGTTGTCTGCCCAAAAGTTCTTAGCTTTGTGCCATCAGTAGGACTCCCCCTGCAGTGTGACTTGATTTATGGAGAATTGCATTTATCCTATGTTCATTTTGCAACAATCAATATTAAGTCTATCTGGACCCGCTCCAGTCGGGCTTCAGGCCGGGATACAGCATGAAAACGGCATTGGTCACGTTGGTAAATGATCTCTGGAGGGCCCGGGACAGGGGCCATTCCTCTGTCCTTGTTCTTTTGGACCTCTCAGCGGCTTTTGATACCGTGGACCACGGTATCATGCTGCGACGTCTGGGTGAGTTAGGAGTGGGAGGCACTGTTATGCGGTGGTTCTCCTCCTTCCTCACCGACCGTATGCAGTCTGTATTGGCAGGGGGACAGAGGTCAACCCCAAGGCCCCTAACTTGTGGGGTCCCACAAGGGTTGGTCCTCTCTCCCCTTTTGTTCAATATTTATGTGAAGCCGCTGGGAGAGATCATTTGCAGCTTTGGGGTGGATTTCCATCAGTACGCTGATGATACTCAGCTATACATTTCCACCCCAGGCCACCCCAACGATGCCCTTGACGTGATGGCCCGTTGCCTGGAGGCCTTAAGGGTCTGGATGGGGAGGAACAGACTCAGGCTCAACCCTTCCAAGACCGAGTGGCTGTGGCTGCCGGCGCCTCGGCATAGTCAGCTGACTCCATCGCTGACTATAGGGGGCGAAAGTTTGGCTCCCTCGGAGAGGGTACGCAATCTGGGGGTCCTCCTGGATTCACGGCTGACACTGGAAGACCAGTTGTCGGCTGTGACCAGAGGGGCATTTTATCAGGTACGCCTGATACACCAGTTGCGGCCTTTTCTGGACCGGGACGCCTTGCGCACAGTCACCCATGCCCTCGTCACCTCCCGCCTGGACTACTGTAATGCTCTCTACATGGGGCTCCCCTTGAGGAGCACCCGGAGGCTTCAACTGGTCCAGAATGCGGCCGCGCGGGCGGTGTTGGGAGGGACTCATCGCGCCCATGTAACACCGCTGCTGCGCGAGCTGCACTGGTTGCCGGTGGCCTTCCGGGTGCGCTTCAAGGTGCTGGTCATCATCTTCAAAGCGCTCCATGGCATCGGACCTGGATATCTCCGAGACCGCCTTCTGCCGCAGATTACCTCCCATCGGCCGGTACGCTCCCACAGAGTGGGTCTCCTCAGGGTGCCGTCTGCCAGACAGTGCCGGCTGGCGACCTCCAGGGGGAGGGCCTTCTCGGTGGGAGCTCCCACCTTCTGGAACGAACTACCCCCAGAGATCCGGGTGATCCCGGATCTCCCCTCCTTCCGCCGCGCCCTAAAGACATGGCTCTTCCAACAAGCGGGATTGGCCTAGGGGAATTTTTAGTGGGGTTTTAAGAGTAATTTTAATTGACATTGGCCACAGTAAATATTTCTTTTTAATTAGGTTTTAAACTGGGTATTTTATTGTTGTATCTGTTTTATAAGGCTGTCAGCCGCCCTGAGTCCGTAAGGAGAAGGGCGGGATAAAAATTAAATAAATAAATAAATAAAAATAATAAGTAGGTCTTCTGTCCACCTGAATCAAAATTTTCTGAATAACTGCTGTCTTAATATTTCCTTGATCTGGTGGAATACATTGGAACTCTACTTCTACTCATCAAATCACACTACAAACAAGCTTTAACCAGTGTAGTCCTCTTCACTCCCTATAGGATCACTGCTATTATCATGGACGCATCCAGAATGATGCTGACTCAACTGCAAGCATCAGTGCATGCAATGGTTTGAAGTAAGATAGTCTCTAATCTTTTATTTATTGTATTAAGAATAATATACTGCTCTTGGAGTTGTCACAGTTAAAATGAAGGACATCAGTTTTTCATGCAAATGAGTTGGATGTGATCCAAGACTTCTGCAGAATTAAGAAAGACTTTGATGGAATACCAAGAAGAGCTGCTGCCAGCCAGTAGAGACAGGAGGGAATTAAATCAGATCTGTCTAAAGGAGCTTCCAAGCCCCTGTCTCCTTTACATATAGGAGGTGATGTTACAGGTAGAGAAGATAAGTAGGTTTCAGATTGCATACCTTGCTAGAAAGTGTACAGGAAGAGGCAAGCAGACTCTTTAGTTCTACCCAGAAACATTTTCTTGAGCCACTCCAACCAGCTAGATATCTTTGCCACATAAAGATCCCAAAATTCAGAAGGTCCTTTTCATTAGTCAGAATCAACGTCCTCTCAACATCTGTCACTGAAGGAAGACACTAAAAGACCCCATTTGAACAGAGACTCTGTCCATGCAGTGGAAGAATAAATGAAAAGATAGAACACAGCAGAATAACAACAGAATAATAAAGGAAAAGCAGAATGACAGAATAACAGCATTGGAAGGGACCTTGGAGGTCTTCTAGTCCAATCTCCTGCTCAAGTAGGAGACCTATATCATTCTAGACAAATGGCTGTCAATCTCTTCTTAAAAAGCAGTAGTGATGGAACACCCACAACATCTGAATGTAAACCTTTCCACTGGTTAATTGTTTCAATTGTCAGAAAATTTCTCCTTGGTTCTAAGTTGATTCTTTCCTAGATTACTTTCCATCCATTGCTTCTTCTCCTGCCATCAGGTGATTTGGAGAATAGGTTGTCCCATACTTTTTTGTGATAGCTCCTTTAATATTGAAAGACTATCATGTCATCTCAACTCCTTCTTGTGGTTAGCCTGAATGTACCCAGTTCTTGCAACCATTCATCATATGTTTTAGCCTTCAGCTCCTTGTTAGCCTGTATTATTATTCTTCAGTGTTACTCATGTTATTCTGCATCTCTATGAAGATACTTGCCAAGAATTCTCATTTTCATTCTTTATTAAATATCCTGGTCAACCTGACTCTTATCTTAAATTGCTATCAGATCAATCTGATTTTATTTCCTTGACCACAGCCAAATACTGTTCTATACTTTGTAAAGTAAATTGCAGTAGTTCCTGTAATTCCTTTTAGATATTTTAGAACAGTGATATTTTTCCCTTTTTATCATAATTAGTTATGATTCTTGGGTTTTATCTGTTGGTCATCTATATATGATAAATATAAAGTATTTCACTCTTATGAGATAAAGTTTTACACAAAAACAGAATCTTTCAAATAGCATTTTTTTAAAAAATCCTAGGAAATATTGGATTCCACGCCAAACTATCTCCAAACAAATACTGTACAGATATTTCGTGGTTGTATTGAGTGTGTGCAATTTCTTATACCTTTCTGATCATAGCTATATCTTTGAGAAGTATGAGAAAGGGATATGAGTGCTGAGGAAAGAAAATAAAAATTTCAGTGAGTGTTAAGAAGGGATTCAGAAACACAGGGAATGTTGACTTGGTTAGTTAAAAATGGGTCTCAGAGCTGAGTTTCGTTACCCAACTAGGTAATATCATCAATGCAGGTTATCTCTGAACTAACAATATTCTCTTGTATTGCTTCTCCATCTCTGATCACCCTTTTCCACATTGTTTTACAGAGGACATTTCAAGCTTCAAGGGAAGATGTACCTTATTGAACCTTTGAAGTTTTCTGACAGTGAAGCCCATGCAGTCTTCAAATATGAAAATGTAGAAAAAGAGGATGAGGCCCCCAAAATGTGTGGGGTAACCCAAACTAATTGGGAATCAGATGAGCCCATCAAAAAGGCCTCTCAGTTAGTTGTTACTGCTGAAGTAAGTCACATAGCAAACATGGTTTGAGAACCGGGATTCATTTACTTGTTTCTAAAATGTAAAGTAAGAGAGAAATTCTTTGGGGAGGGGTGATTAGATAGAATTCAAAAGGGAGGAGCCCCCATTTCTATCTTTTTATTCTAGCCACGGTATAAAAGAAATAATGGAAACTTGATGAACAGAAAATACACGTTCCAGGCTTATAGCATTTTCTTTGGTCATACAGATTTGAATCAAAATGTATTTAAATGAATCTCTAAATCATTTCCACTTTTTAAGTCAATTT